CGTCATCTCCAGCATCGCCGCCCTGGAGAACCAGATGAAGATGATGGACTCGGTCATGAGCTGCCCGCAGCTGACCGCCCTGAAGTGCATGGAGAACGGGTCGGGGGACAGCGACCGCCTGAGCAACGACTCCTCGTCGGCCGTGGGCGACCTGGAGAGCCGCAGCGCGGGCAGCCCGGCTCTGTCGGAGTCCTCGTCCTCCACGCGCGCCCTGTCTCCCATGAACAGCAACAGCGAGAGCTTGCACTCCAAGTCCCCGGGCCTCAGCGCCCAGGAGGAGCCCCAGGAGACGCTGCTGAAGACCGAGAGGCCGGACAGCCCCCCCGCCGCCCCCGAAAACGGAGGCGCGCTGGACCTCACGGCGGCCCAGCCCGGCCGTCCGGCCGTCAAGGAGGAGGCCCCCTTTAGCCTGCTGTTCCTGAGCAGAGATCGGGGTAAGTGTCCGGGCACCGTGTGTGGCGTCTGCCGCAAGCCTTTTGCTTGTCGCAGCGCGCTGGAAATCCACCACCGCAGCCACACTAAGGAGCGCCCGTTTCTCTGTGCGGTCTGCGGCCGCGGCTGCTCCACTAGGGGGAATTTAAAGCAGCACTTGCTGACGCACGCGTTGAGCCAGCCGCGTTCTCAGTCATTTGACCCCGACTTTGCCCTAGGTCCCGGCCAGACCACCGCTAGCCTGGTCACCGGCTCCGCGCCCACCGCCATCAAAATGGAAGTGAACGGGCACAGCAGGGCCATTGCGCTGGGCGAGGGCCCGCCACTGCCAGCCGCCGTGCAGGTGCCCCCGGGGCCCCAGGCCGTGATGGGCCCCGGCCTCGCGCCCATGCTGGCCCCCCCGCCGCGCCGGGCGCCCAAGCAGCACAACTGCCAGTCATGCGGGAAGACCTTCTCGTCGGCCAGCGCCCTGCAGATCCACGAGCGCACGCACACCGGCGAGAAGCCCTTCGGCTGCACCATCTGCGGCAGGGCCTTCACCACCAAGGGCAACCTCAAGGTAAGGTGCGCTGGCGCCCGGCTGAGCGTGGGGTGGGGGCTGGGGGGCTCAGCCTCCAAGGCCCCCCACCCTCTTCCGGTGCTGCAGGCCGGGCCTCTGCTGTGATTCTGGGGGGGGCGGAGGAGCTGGGGACCTCCCCCAACAGCGAGGCGCGCGTGGTCCTGTTGTGTGTGCCTGTGTGTAGCGTGTGGGTGCCCAGTGTGCACGTGTGTCTGCATGCACACGAACTCACACCTGTGCAGGAACTTAGTGGGCTGCGCGCGCCGTGCAGCGGCAGTGAAGGGCTGGCCCTCCAGTGTGGGCCCTGTTCCCCAAGGGGCTGGAGGAGGCTATGGGGGGGTGACCACAGAGTGGGGGGTGCTGGTGCAGGGGCAGTGACCGCACGGCGGGGGTGGGGGGGTGGCCCCACAGGCTCGGCTCTCGGGCTGGCCGTCTCGAGGCTCTTCACAGTCTCGAACACAGCAGAACACGGCTTTAAACGCTCACACGAGACACAGATGACACAAATCCTGTCCAGGGGCCAGAGCTCCGTTCTGGTTGGGCCCGCGTGGCACCAGCAGGGGCTCAGGGGCATTTGGTGAGCAGCCCCCCCGCACAAGGGCCAGAGGAAGACAGCGCAGGGAGTGTTCGTGTTCAGGACGGGCACACCGTACACTTCGCGTGGAAGGTGAAGTGTGGGCAAGGCGCTAGATGACTGCTCTTGGCCAAACGTGCCCCTTTCTGTCCACGTCCTGGGCCTGTCTGGAGACTCCGGAGAGCTCAGCACCGGCGGCTGCTCCTTACGGGCAGGACAGGAGCCGCCTGAGGTCTCTGCTGGCTGCAGATGCTCCAGCCATTCCGTCTGCGTTTGGGGGAAAGCCGCCATAGTGTGGAGGCCAGGGGAGAGGACTGAGGGGCGAGGCTGCGTGCCCTGGAGCTTTGGAGCCTCCCCGGGTGGCTTTTCAACTTCGTGGGGGACAGTCACCCCATCAAGCTCATCAGCTGAAAGAAACACTTGAGAACGTATTGACTGGTTTTGCTCTTTGTATTTCGTGAAAAGAAGTGTCGCACATAAAATATAAGACGCACAGAAGAGGCCACCGACAATGCGTGGCGTCCCGATGGATGCTCAGAGCGGGGACGAGAAGCCCAGTTCCGCAGCCATCGTGCTGGGTGTCTGGTGACACGTGGGAAGCGTGGGGCAGGCTCGCACCCACCCCCGGTGCCGGGCTTGCTCACCTGTGCCTTCTCTCCGTGTGTCTCACGCAGGTGCACATGGGCACCCACATGTGGAACAACGCCCCCGCCAGGCGTGGCCGCCGCCTGTCCGTGGAAAACCCCATGGCTCTGCTAGGTGGCGACGCCCTGAAGTTCTCGGAGATGTTCCAGAAGGACCTGGCCGCGCGAGCAATGAACGTTGACCCCAGCTTCTGGAACCAGTATGCCGCGGCCATCACCAACGGTCTCGCCATGAAGAACAACGAGATCTCTGTCATCCAGAACGGCGGCATCCCCCAGCTCCCAGTAAGTCTCGGCGGAAGCGCCATCCCTCCCCTGGGTTCCCTGGCCGCCGGGATGGACAAAGCGCGCACCGGCGGTAGCCCGCCCGTTGTGGGTTTGGACAAAGCGAACTCCGAAACAGGAGCCACGCGTCCGTTCACGAGGTTTATCGAGGATAACAAGGAGATCGGTATTAACTAGCTGCCCGCGCGGCTCGGCCCGTCCCCTGCCCCACGCACACGCCGTCGAGCGCGACCGTCAGGCTGTGCAGCCGTGCGTCCGAGTTCTCCTTAAAATCGTACCCGTAGCAGAAACTACGTTCGCTGTGTGGCTGCCGGAAGGTCATCGCGTGGGCCCTGCATGGTACTTCTTCCCACGGTGAGCTGGACTGCGCTTGGGGACCCTCACCTTTTAGATAAATTTAAATCAGAAAGAGAAGTCCTTGTACAACCGCCTTGGGAATGGAAAGGGCTCGCACCGCATCCGGTTCGTTCCTCCCCGAACCTAACCTCCCCCACCCCCAGAGGAGGGAGGAAACCTGTGCTGTTCCAGCGACACTCACTCGAAGGTTTTGTTCGAATTAGTTAGAAACTTGAACTCTGTTTTTAGACTATTAACTGAAAGATGTGGTCCGGTACCCCTAGCACTGTGTCCTTCCGCAGCACCTTCGTCTGTAGTATTTATAACGGTAAGAGTATGCGGGTAACAGATAATACAGCCCCGGACTTTAAAGGAAGCTTTTGTGCTGCGGAATACATCTGGTTATGTGATTTTTTTTTTTAAAGCAGAATTTGTTTTACTATAAATAAGTGAGTAATTTCAATGCAGGCAAATTGTGAAGTTACACTGGGAAAGAGCATGCTTCCGTGTGCGACTACCTGTCAGTGACAAGCCTTTTTTCATTTTCTTTTTTTTTTTTTTAATTTAAATGTTTGTAGCTGCTATGTGGACAGTTGTTCCCTAGTGTGGTCTGTAGCCCAGCAATTGGGGACAAGTTACAGACAAACGTCACCGTAAATTATTCACAACATTATAAACAGTTGTGAGGAAATATTTCACGTTATGAAAGCTGTACAATAAAAAGGTAATGTTTGTATAATGTGGTTGCAAACTCTTAATTTATACTATTGCACTTTTAGTATTTTGTATTAGAGAGGTTTGTCTATAATTTGAAAACTTAAAAAGATGTAAAGTATTTTATAAATAGTACTTTGGTTTAAGGAAAATGAAAAAAAAAAACTTACGGTTTCTTGTTTTGTCTCAAGGTCAGACAGTGTGGGAATGCAGAAAAGCCGCCAGGGCTTGTGTGCTCCTCCGTAAACGAGGGGCTGCCGTTTCTTAAATTAAAATGATTTATTTAACTTTTCTATGAAGCCCGGTAAAACACCTGACTGCCCCCCACACAACTGAGAGGAGGGAATCGGAGGCCCACGGAGACCGCGTGGGTGCGGCTCACCGTCCTCTCTGCCTCCCCCGCACCCCGGCCCGGGTCTCCGCAGACCCGCGTGCAGGCACCTGGGGAGAGGTGTCGGAGGCCTGGCAGTAGTCGGTCGTAACCGGGACGTTCTCTGAGTTCCTGATTTATTTATTATCTTCTCAGATGAGAGCAAAGCACAATGTCGGCTGATTACTCAAGTACAGTCTGAAGCTGCTGACTGGGTCGGAGCTGCTTGGCGTGCGGCGGGGCCCGGGTGCTGGGCGGCGGGCGGGCGGGCGCCAGAGCGCCGCCACCCGCCTTCTACCTCATTCTGTGTGGCGGGCGGCTAGTCCAGCAGTGTCCCTCCCGAGGGGTTGTGGGCGGCTGGGTGGCGCTGGGGTCCTGAGCCCTGAAGAAGGGACCGGACGGTCATGACTTCCCGGCTGAGATGGACAAGTAAGACCTTCCCAGCAGGACACCAGCTGCAAAGTCAAGGGTGTGACCTTGAACAAAAACAGGCGTGAAGACCCCTCATCTGCAGACTGAGCTGTTTCCTCCCGTCGGATGGAGCGTGCCCCCCCCACCTTTGGCCCCCAAGCCCGGAGGGGCAGCCCGTTCTCGGGGGCTTCGGCCCGGCCACCGGGTGCCGCTGGGCTTCAGCAGTTGAATGTTTTTATTATTTATGTGTCCTTTTTGGTGTGATTTTTGGTTTGGGTTTTGGTTTTTCTTAGTGTGTGGTTCCCTGTGATGTTCTCTCTTCTCCCAGAAGGACGTGTACATAACTTCAGAGAAAAGAAATGTAAAGTGTTGTAAATACGATGACTCGTGAAGGGACTGCGAGACGTGGCCCTGTGTCTTCAGGGCCGGTGGTCCCTCCCTGTGTGGTGAAGAGAGACACTATTTTTCTACTGCAGCACCGCGTAGGGCCGGGGCCCCCAACCGGCCAGCGCGCTTCCCGAGATCCCATATTTTTTATGACAAATCTGTGGCTCGACACATCTGGTTGAAATGGATGTCTTAGTCTAGGTGACTATTTTTGTCATACGGAAATGAATAAAATGCAGGATGTAATCTAATCTCTGAATCGAGTTCCTTGATTATTCAGATGGAAAAAACGTGGACCCTGAGGTTATGGTCATCCGTGGCGGACATATGTCCACAGCGTTTCTCCGAGGAGAGTCGGGGGTGGCAGCTTAGAGTTAAGCGATATCTAAATGTGTTATCTCGATTGGTCTTGAAATTTTTATTTTTCACTCTTTTCTAAAATAAAAGTGCAGTCTCCCGAATCTGGATGTTTTTTACATCTGTGATGGAAGAAGCTGTCCTAGAAAACATCTGCTCGTTAAAGCCTTGGCGTTTCTTGTCCAGAAATGACCGCCGCTCAATTGCCTTCCTGTCCTCAGTGCTGAGTCAAGTGTCGGCTCTTCGGATCACTGGAGCTAAGCGGCTGTGCGTCGAGCCAGGCTGTGGGCGCGGGAAGGAAGGGGCGCCGGGCCCCCATACTGTGCGTCCAGCACCAGCACTTTCCGTCCGTTAGCTCCCAAGGGAGGACGTCTTTACTCTAAACGAAGTTCTACCTCCCCGGTAACATTTGAGAAGACGTGAGACTTTACATAATTTAACAGCTCCTGGTTTCAACACGCGTGATCCATTTCTGTTTTCAGTAACTACGGATACCTGGGAGTACTTCCTGCCTGGGAGGCGGGGTGCCTGCAGAGCACCAGCGAGGGCGCTAACCACTGCACAGCCGCCCAGGCCCCTCCCAACACGGCGCCCTACGCCTTGGGGGTGAACCCAGGCGGGTTTCGGTGCCAGGATGGAAATGTTGAAACATGAGCTAAGTCACACAGCAAATTCAACTTGTTTTCTAAAAAGGTGAAATAAAGTTTCCTATATTTAAAATAATGTGAGTTTAAATGCAGGGAAGACGGGATCTGCTGATTTCCAGAGTCAAACCCAGGGCTCTCTCAGCTTAACAAGCCCGGGTTTTTACTTCCGACGTCCATTTCTCTTTGCTCAGACCTCACATCGATCATAAATGCCAACAATCCCTAAAAACTATTTATTTAAATATTTTTCTATTTCTAGGTTCATTACAGGAACCATTAACATTTAAAACTAATTAAAAAGTATTGCTGAAGGGCTAAACAGCAATTGTTTCTAAACTGCACACTGTTTAATTTTGTCCCCGCGGAAGCGAGAAGGCCGTGGCCCCCCGCCCGCCGTTCCTCTGCGCGGCCCGCGCTGCCCGACCCGCCTGGGCTTCCCGAGGCCCCGGCCCCGCCAGCCCCAGGTCGCCGTGGTCACGGCCGCCCATCTGACGCCACAGAAGCCCGGAGCCCTCGCAGGCTTCCTCCGGCGCTCGCCTGCAGCAGCGTGGTCGTGTCACACGCATGCAGCTCCGTGACCAGCTCGTCGCCTCGCAAGGTGCCAGGCAGCCTGCGGCCTCGGGTTTCAGTCTCTTGCGCTGAAGTCCTGTGCGCACGGGCTGACTGCTGGTGCTGGGGTGGGCGCGGCCCTCGTTCATTCCTCCGAAGGGTCTTGTCCGACACGCGGGGAAACAGGCCACGACAGGCTTCTGCGTGGCAGGCCCGTTGGCTGACGTTTTAGCTTTGTGAGATTCGGGTCACGGAAAGTCCTACACGCAGCTAGGGGAAACCTTAAATTCCCCCGTTTTCGTTCCCTGGGAAGGACCGCTGTTACTTCAGCGTCCTTCACGCAGGGAGCGCGTCAGAGTCGACCGCCGGACGCCGTTTCCCTCGTGGTCACACCGTGTTCCCCGTTGACCGGCCTGGGGGTCGGCGCCCGCGGGGCCACAGCACAGGGCCCTGGGGGGCGGGGCCGCGAGGGCGGGATTCGGTGGCATTCAAACCCTTTCTGGTTCTAAAATCCAGGGTGGTGGTGGTGGTCTGTTGTGGTTTTGAAAGAACCCTGGCCTTCCTTTTTCTTCCCCAAATTCACTAGACAAATCGACGGTATTTATGTAGAGAGAACACAAGTGATTACCAGAGACTATAAATATGAAAACTCTATTAACAAATGACTTTGCTAAAGAAAATCTATGAAATCATTTTTGGACCCTGAAAGACGTGTTGGTATCTCTGATTATCTTAAGTCATTGCATTTATGGAAGCTTTTCAAATTGCGACTATATTTAAGGTAAAATAAAGGTGAGCTCTGTGAACATCGTGCCTGCTGCATTTCCTATCAGAAGAGTCTTTTCAAAACGATTTGCTTTTTGAGATGCGTGTTGCCTGCACAGGCGCACACCCGCTTCCTCGTTAAGGTTACATTCGCACACGTGGTGTGTGCCTCCACGCCGGTTCAGAAGAGTATGCCGTTCAAAGCAGTGCTTATTTCTTTCTAGTAAAGTTTTGGAGCCTGCGAACTACCCCCTCGGGTCCCCGTGTCCTCACGTGTAGCCACGCCCGCAGGTTTTGGCCTGTCTTTGGATTGTTCACAGGCTGTGTCTGCACAGCTCGCTTGTGGTCCCTCCACTTGTGACTGAGCTCAGAGGTTTCCCGAGCACTGGGTGACGGGGGGCGGGTGAGCGGGGTTGGGTGACAGGGGCGGGTGGAGGGGAGGCCAGCGGGAGAGGGCGCTGGGGCAGGGAGAACCAAACGTCGGCGAGGCAGGCCAGGCAGCACGCGTGCACGGGTCCCGTGGCGGCCGCGCTCTGCGACCCTGGGAGGAAGGGACCCTGCGCCCACCCCTGTGAGCCACGCCCTGGGTGTGATTCACATGTGGAAATAAACATACGATCTGAGGAGTTCCAAACATGATTGTCTGTGCTCTCGAAGTTGGCAGCAATCATGTATTTTTAAGTTCCAGAATGACCCATAAACTCAATTTTCACAGCCTGGATGGTCACTGATTCCATTTGTTTTCTTTCTAGCTTCATTTAAAGGACACGTGAATTTTAATAATTTTAAATTAGCTATATAATATCTAATACAAAAATCTTATGTTTCTTCTACAACTAGCAGATTTTTTTTGATCACGTGCAGGATACAGAGCATTTCGATTTTACTCTTCCTATTTGTTGTCTGAAGGACGAGGTAAACACAGCTCTTGTTCTGACCTAGAATCACCTGCAAGGAATCTGTCACAGCCTTCACGACGGCTCCGTCGAGGGAGGGGCGCCAGAGGCTCAGAGACGCGTCTTCCACGCTGCAGACGGTAAGAGTCCGGGACACACAGTGGAGACCATGTAAAACTTCCCCACACCTTCAGATGCTTGAAAGATGAATTAGGCTTTGAATTTTACACCCGTTTCCCGTCACAAGCGCGCAGTTGCCGTGGTTTCCGCGGGGACCCTCTGGTCTCGTGGCTCGGGCAGGGACGGCGAGTGCGCAGAGCCGTGCCCGCGCAGCCTGGCCATCCATTACTCCGTGTTTGTGTTTGGTTTTGCTTTGTGAGTTTTGGTAACGGCATTTGGTGCCGGCGTCCACGCAGCAGGCGGTGCTTGACGCTCGGCCCGGGGCCACTGACGAGTGGGTTCTGCAGCCCCGAGGTTTGGTCTCCGGGGCTTTACGGGATTTTACTGAGCCTTCAGAAGAAGCAGGTCTCGTCAGGGCGCTCTCTCGAAGGTGAACGAGAGTTCAGCTACTCGGCCTCCGTGTGTAGACACACGTGCTGAGAATAAGTCG